AAAAAAAACTACAGAAAAAGAGCAAGTTCAATTGCAAATAAACTGGATTCAACTCAATTGCTATTAAACATAATTGCATACGATCAGTAAAGTTTACATGAGTTATTGCAACCAAATCGGTTGCAACCAAGCCAGCTGCAATTAAAATCAGCTACAATCAGCAACAACACTTGGTTGCATTCAGCTTTGTTGCTTTGAAACGCAATTTCAATCAGCAACGTTTGCAAACTGTTACGATTAAAATAAAAATCAATTGCAATCAGCACCGGTTGCAATTGATACTCAGTTGCAATCATAAAAGGTTTCAAACAAAATCATTTACAATCCGTTTGATTGCAATTAAGTTTTTATTGCTTATGAATATTGATTGTAATTGTTACTGATTGCAGCTGATTTGATTGCATCATCGTTTGATTGCATAAGAGTTTGATTGCAGATGAAAGTGTTCCAATAAAGGAAAGAACGATAATCTGAACTAAATTTTTTTTTAAATTACTAAAAACGATCGAGCATGAAACTTAAGGCAAATAAATTCCCTTATAGCCCTATAAACCCGGGATTAGTTATAGTCGAACATTTTGCTTAAACTATACGCTTATCTACAATTCGAATATTTTACTTAAACTATACGCTTATCTACAATTCGAACATTTTGCTTAAACTATACGCTTATCTACAATTCGAATATTTTGCTTAAACTATACGCTTATCTACAATTCGAATATTTTGTTTAAACTATACGCTTATCTACAATTCGAATATTCTGCTGAAACTATACGCTTATCTACAATTCTTGAGCTCGATATCCATTGTGACAACTTAAAAAAAAATGTTGACACGCGACACCGAGGCGCAATTCTACATGATAATTCACCAAAACCATACTGCCGTTTTACAATTATCATACAGAGAAATTTTTATTTATCCATATATATATACTTAGCTTGTCTGTCTGTTTGTTTGCATACAATAAACGTCAAAACGGCCGAACCGATCGGGCCCAAATTTTGTGTGGGACCTTAGTAATAAATCAAATCGTAACTTATTTTATTCCAAAAAGTCCCAATCATGCTTGCTGCTATAGCTTCCGGTGATACATGAATGTGCGTAGATCGTACATTTATAATTGTATAATTAGTAAATGGTACATAATTAGGTTTCTGCTTTATACTCTCTATTTGAATATATTAAGAGAGTCAGTGTGAACAAAACATGATCCAAAAAAATGATAATTAACAATTCTACAAATCAGCTCATAATATAATTAATTTTGATAATTTGTAAAGAAACCCCCTGTTGGACCAGAAACTCTGATTTTTCTGGGTCGCCCTGTATAGCTTTATAGGTTTAAGTATAGTATTAGTTATGATATCGTTATCAAGCTATAAACAGGATGCAGGCCTTGTACCATCAAACTTCCAGTAGTAAGAATAAGATACAAAAATATCCTTGACGGAATTATATTTTTATCAAAGAGAATGGAATATATATTAGAGTGGAATTTAGACAATCCCTCGGTATGACTTTTGTTAGTCCCTTTCAGCCTGAAAGGGAGTTCAAAGTGTACAAATCATGTAAATGTTCACAAATTATCTGCAGTAGAGTATATTAATACAGTATGTTCTCTAGACTATCCATTTCATTTTCGAATTTTTAAAGCTATTAAATAAACTTTATGATGAATTAGGTGAATAAAAAACATCATTTGATTTATTATTATAATGGAAAATCATCGTTTGTAAAGTGAAAGGTATAGAGTCTATGTGAAATGATCATTGGTCAATTATGAAACCAGCCTATTCCATAATTTGGTTTTCTTTTAATATTAATTTTAGATTTTCTATAAGATGATATTCCAGGGCCCAAAAGGTTATATAGAATAAATATGTGAAGTACACCAGCAGTATGGAAACAGTACAACAAAATGGCCGTTTTACACCTTTTTCTAGTTAATTCCACTCTAATATATATTCTATTCTCATCGATTTTTATATTGCACAAAATAATTTGTAAACCACCATTAAAATTAATTACTAGATTCAAGAATTCAAATTCGATTCGAGGAAAATCTGCAGAACAAATCGAAAGGAGCGTTAGATGAAGCCGATCCTAATCCATTAATAGATGAAGTCGATCACGGCCGATCAATTTTAAGGCAAAACATATTTTAGTAGCATTTTGGTTAAAGAGATTTGTTAAGAACTAATGATACAATGATATAATTATTAGGAAATACAAGAGCACCAAGAGAAAATTCTGCTTTAAGGAAATCGAGGGAAAAATCCTGTTAAATAAAATAATTCATTTATTTGGACAATTTTTTTTCCAGAGATTTTCCGATTATAAGGAAAAAAAATTCCTTTAACATTTCCTAAAAATAGTTTTTGATTAAATATTAGATTAATTGCAGTTCTAAAAAGTAAAAAATTACTCAAAAAGATTTGTGCTGTTGGAAGTATTTGTTTCAAAATATTAACAATTTTGGAAATCAAATGACCTGTAGAGGAAAATTTATCTGAATTATAATTCCATTTTTAATTTTTGTTTCCTATGCAAAGAAAATAGATCATTTCTATAGAAACATAATGCTTCAGTGTTTTCATTAGAATTCACCAATAACGAGTTTGGTCATAAAGATTCGATAGGAAGGATGATACAAATATTTACTCCAAGTTAAGAGACAGGGTGTCCCACGAAACATGCCATTTGGTGAATGTTTTTCTAAAAACAAATTTTCCTCACCTTATCATCTCAGAACAATTGTCGCTCTTCACCTCAACCATTTCTTCAAGATAATATTAACAATATTCTCAGGGAGATAAAATAATTTATTTACCTACAACTGTGTATAGTCCAACGAAAGTGAATTTTACTTGCGCGCAATAACGAGCCCTAAAATTCAGCGCAATTCTACGCAAATTGAGGACAGTTGCGTGCAATTCTGCACCGTTGGGCGCAATTCCGTGCAATTCTGTGCAACGGAATTCCGATTGACCCTAGTATCTACATGAGTGTCTTCTCTATAATAGTAAAATTAAAATAATATAAAATTAAAAAACTAAAATGAACGTAATTACCGGAAGTTTTTTAATAAAAAAATATGGCGCAAAATTTTCTGTTACAAAATATTTTTTTCTGTAAAAATATCAATTGTAGTTCGTGAAAATCTCTTTCCTCTTTTACATACTGGTTTGAAAGAAATGGAAGAAATTAAATTAAGAAGCAATGATATATTTTTCAATGTATCTCCATTCTTAATATTTGGTTGACCCTAAAGTGTAAAGATTGATATCTCTGTATATAGTGTATCACAAAACGATGTTATTGTTGAATATATTGATGAAGCTGATTTGGAAAATTCATCTCATGGTAGAATACCGTCTCCAACTCTCCAACAAATTGAAGCTGAAAGGTGAAGCCATAAATTAATTAAAATAACAGATAGGACACTAGATGTCGTTTTTTTAGATTTATGTGTGTTTCGTTCACAATCTCTGTCTTGTAATTCTGTTCTACGCAGACTATGCGTAACTCCTTTGGGCTTCTGCCTCAGGGTTATTGTGAACGAAACACACATAAATCTTGAAAAGACGACACCTGGTGTCCTATCTGTTATTTTAATTAATCTATGGGTGAAGCCAATAAAAAAATGAGAGAAAAGAGAGGGAGGAAAGAGGATGGAGGGGAGGTGGAGGAAAGGGAGGGAAGGGGTAACAAGAACAAATGACTAAAAAACTGGCTCTCTTGAGTCCTGGCCCTGATATATTTGGGACATTTGAGACTTTTCTTCTTCTAAACCGAAAAATATAATGGGGAAAATTATACATTTACAATTTTCTTTACTTGCACAACTATGTTTGGAATATGCGTATATTTTTAGCTACTGGAGATTGAGAAAGAGTGATGCTTCAGATTTAATCGAAGACGACCTCTCGTTCCCGTCTTTGGATTCGTATTCTAAAGACGACATTTTGTCAAATGCGTTTTCTAAGTTGGTACTGATAAATTCTATTCATTTACAATTAAAGCTTCACAAATACTAAGCTTAGCAAATCTAGCTTCTTTGAGATATATAAAAATAATTTATGGACTATTTCTGAGTAATTGGTTTAAAACCTTTAACAGGATCAGTATTACTTATATTGTCATCATTGTAAGAAGGCTAGCTCGGAGACCTTTAACATTTTTCCGTTTATAAATCATTGAAAAAAGGACAGCTTAAATTGAGACAATAAAGGGGATTGGCCCATTCACACGGCACCCTTAAAATCTTGATAGCTGATAAATAATGTCGAGGATATCGTAGCTGTTCCAACTTGAAAAGTCTTTATTTCTTACAACTTGCTCAATTGTTTCTCATGAAGAATGCTCAAGTCTGATTTTAATTAATTTTCATCGAGAAACAAACATTTATCAAATAAAGCTTTTAGACACAGCTGTAAATCGGACATGCCACTCTTAAATTACGGCTATAACAGTCTTTTAAAACTCCGAACCGGTCAGGGTTCGATGTGTGGAATCATTTATTTCTAATTCAGATTTGTTCTCGATTAGAGAAATCATGGAAATCATTCTGTACTCGAAACAATATACCCTCAGATCCCAGGTATTATTTCACTTGATTTTTAAATACTAGGGACTTCAGCTGAAGCCTTTTTTTCCGTTAGTGTAGTTTTACTTTGTAATCGTCTCCGTTTAAAAACAATTGCGGACTAAAAAAAGACAGCTTCCAATCATCCGATGTCGGAGCTCCACAAAAGACATTTGTGGAAGAAAAAAAATAGTTCCGACTGCTATTAAAAACAAATAATTTAGGGCAAAGGAATTGAGTTTCTGTCACAAATTCCTATATCTTTGCAACCAAGTACCGTAAACCTTTGATATTTCAAACTGTAAATTATGTTAGTTAAGATAGTCTAAGTTTGAAATATCAAAAGTTTACACAGACAGGTTGCGAAGATATAAGGATTAGAAAATTTGAGTTTGTGACAAAGACTCACTTCCTTTTTAGAAGAAAAAAATCAATTCAAAATTAAACAGAAAGAAGGTTACAAGTATTCCAGATTTTTCTGATCCTCCCTTTATGTACTCCTTTATGTACGACGTACGTATTGAAGGGTGTGGTGTACTGATGATATCCTGAGCTGGATGGGTTGGGTTGGAGAACAGTTTAGAATTAGGGTTCAACCTCTTCTCGATAAAATCATTTCTTGTAAGGTAAATCATTAATTAAAGTCTTTATACGAGTGAAAAAGAGAATCTCGAGGAAAAAGTTTTTAATTTCCTTCTTTGTCTATGCTGTAAAAATCCTATACGTCACTTTTAAAGAAAATCTGAAATCGAAAATTATCAAATTTTTGACTGAAAATAAGGATATCTCCATATTTAACATTTAAGTGACCGGTGTCATGAGGTAAAAATATGGAAATATTCTTATTTTCAGTCTAAAATTTGATAATTTTCAATTTCAGATATATATATATTGTACAATTGGTGCGTTTAATTTTCATTGAACTATTCCAAGACAACTTTTAAGTCTTCTTCCTGTTCCAACTGGGTCCAACTGTATAAAATCAAAAATATCAAATCAAATATGCAGGGCACATAAATAGGAAGTGTATTTATTTCGTAAAACTATCCCTTTTGCATTACATAGTTTGTATTTGTACTGTACGAACTGTACAGTTTGCTCTTACTGATTGAAAGTCAGCTCGGTACTTAAAATGTACCGGAGTTTACAGTGTGAAGAGTAAAGATCAATTCTAGTGGCTTTTTACAATAATCAAATCAGATGGCAGCAGATACACAAGATAAAACTTTACTTCACGTTCACAAATTTTTAAATTTAAATTTTAACAATTTTTATGAATAATTAAATAAAGGATGCTAATATTAGGTGCTAGTACATCAGCGAATGCTCCTATTCTTGTGACACACAATTTACATTTCTATATTTCTTGTTCTCCATTTTCTTCTTGGGCCATCGCAGCAGACGTTACGTTCACAAATGGGAATGGGAAAAATTTAACGCTTGACTAAAATATTTTTCCCATGCATTTGGAAAAAACTAAATTTTTGTATCTTCCCATTTTATTAGATGAAAGGATGCGAGCTCTGTTCCCTGACCAAGGATGAGTTTATCTCCCGGCTTTTCAGCTTCGAGCAGTTTAATGCCCCGAAACACTTTATGGTCCCGGAACACTTTATAGTCCCGGAACAAGTTACAGATCTCGTCTGGGAGCATCTTAAAGCTTTAATTCAAGATTCAAATTCAGTTCAAAGGTATAAAATAAAAGTTTTTGCTTACACAGACCCATACAACTGTGGAAGAGGAAAACGACAGTGAGACTTAAACAACAGCAATCGTGCAGTCATGTCAGGCAACTAAAAAACTATTTTTCTTTATAAAAACATCAAATACATATAAGATTGCATAAATGTCGTAATCCTAATCCACTGTTTTTTAATGTTACCGTAAATGGTTTTATTACATAATCTAAATTAAATTAGCTACAAATTACACAATCCTGGCAGCCACATTTAAAGACAATAATTCCTTCATTTTATTTCTTCTAGATGGCAGCAGTGTACATTCCAACCTGCTGTACCCAGTTCTGGAGGGTACAGTACGGTACATAGTATTCCTATGTTCAGTGCCGCAGGTTATACATACTTACAGTGGTCAGTGTGATATGTCCTTCTAAACCTGAAAATTCAAGGACGACAAAGTAAAATGGCTAAATCAAAAATATTAGAAAAAAAATAAAAAATGAATTTAAGCGAAACTAAACATTTCCATTAAACCAAGTCTAGTGATTTTTGGTTTAATTTTTCCCCAAACTTTATGTACTTCATAAAGCACTAAAAAGTTTTTCTTAAAATTGCTATAGTTACTAGTTAGCGTCTTTTCTGTTGGAAAGTGTTTTTCTTTGTGGTTAACCCTTTGTTTGAAAATACAAACTATTGGTTTAAGCAATGAACAAAGTCAAGGGAAAGTAAAAAGTTAGGAAAATAAACATAAAATATAGTTTTACAAGTTAGATACAACGGGACCCACAAACCTATTGAATATTAAGATGAACGTTATGACTTAAGTTTTGATCTTAAACTGTCATAAAACACAGCATTGTGCAGTGTTCACAGACCCTTTTTTCTTAAAAAGATGATTTTCAAGGTCTGGTTAAACATTTTTGCTTTTTGAACAACATCAAAAACGCATAAGATTGATTTACTGTCGTCTTCCTATTCCACAGTTTTTTAGATCTCTCTGTATCTGACTGTAACTGGTAAAAGTATTTTTACCCCCAGGACCTATCCAACTCTGGCAGTTTCTCCTGGAACTGTTATCAGATAAATCATGCCAGAGTATTATAAGATGGACAGGTAATAATTAATGAAATATCTTTTTCTACTTTTATTTTATTTTAGTAAATATAAACAACAGGGTATCTTAAAGGGACTGAGGCGTATTTTCAAATGACCCACCATGCAAAGATGGCCATGTCCGATTCACAACATTACCCTAAAAAGCTTTGTCTGATCAAGTATGAATCGACTATTTAATGGCAAATATATATAACTTCTTTAACAACTTCTTCTTTAATCTCCGGATTAAATATGCTTGTTCTCCTCTTGTTATTAATCTCCAGATTGACTAACCTATCGGGATTAAGAATATCCCATTTAAAAGCTCCCATCTCTGATCAATTAAGACTTTTAAACTTGCTACTACAGGGTTATGCTGCTTAACTTGCAAGGATGAGACTTTAGATACGACTGTACGGAATTTCTTTGGTCTTTATTTTTTAGATTTGTGGTTCCTTGGAGCTGTAAACTTATTTCTTTCTTTGTCAAACTATTGATGAATTATAATCAAAGTTAACCTTCAGATTATTACGTTTAAAAAGTTTAAAGTCTCATCTTTTGTGGTTATAACCCTTATATTTGAAGTAAATTTTATTTAAATTTAGAACTTATTTTACAATTAATAAGAATGTATAAATCTTCGTTCCGTGTAAACCAATTTGCACATATTTCATGTTCAACACACAATTTTAACTCTAAATCAAGAATATTGTTTCCATTTAAGCATTCTAAAGCCTACAAAAAAGTTGATATTAAAAATGTCCAAAAATTGGCCGTCGGTTTAGAATTGGGACTCTTGTATCATCATATTAACATTTTACTTATTGTTTATCTGTGTGTTTTTCAGTTGCGAACCCTTTCGTAAAGAAATATTACTATTCGTAGAGGGAATTTTGTAAAGAATGATAGCAAAGTTTGTTGTTCAGGACAAGGTTGGGAGTTCAAACTTGCAGATCCAGATGAGGTTCGTTAACTTTAACATTAAAACTTATCACATATTGGAAAATTATATTTTGTTAAAAAGTTTTAATTTATGAGGAGTGTTGTCGATAAAAGGGTTTTAACAATTTCAAAAAAATAACAGTAAGATTCAAAAGAAAAACTGAATATTGAGACATGAGCTCCCATGGCTTCCCATGAATATTGTTCAGTAGTCGGCGATTATATCAATACTATGAAGACAACTTTTAACAAATAATGCATTAATCTCTAACAAACATCTTTCAAATTACATGTTTACAAGTAAAGAAAAAAAAAACTGTTAATTGACAACTTCTCGTTATTTAATGGTCGAGTATTTCTGCTGTTTGAAAGCTTGGCTGAAATCAAAATTGAAATGGGAAGTCTTCTTTACTGTACTGATTCATATATATGACGCCTGTATAATTAAGTTTATTGTTCAAAAGGCAGATGTAGAATAATGTTAAGATATTTAGTAAAAGTCGGCATTTTACTCAAATATATTAGAGGGACAACTGTCTTACATATATTTTATTGTTTTGTTCAGGTTGCTCGTAGATGGGGATTACGCAAGAATAAGCCTAAGATGAATTATGAGAAATTATCCCGAGGTCTCCGATATTATTATGATAAAAATATTATTCATAAAACCTCCGGGAAAAGATATATTTACAGGTAGATGTAAACAACAATCATAAAAAAATCTAATTTACAATCAAACTTTTACAATAAAAACAAAAACATAAAAATTGACAAAGAATATTTCATTGTAACAAAAATAATCTCGGCTTCATGGAAAAAGATTCAAGAGAATGAAATACTAAATTATTTTACGACCATATTATGGTAATATATATAAAATGACAGACATGAAGAAAACATGATTTATGTTGTTAAGTTAAAATAATAAGAAAATATGAAAACCATATCTACAGTTTGTTTTCATTTGGTCAAACAGGGAACTTAAGGGAACTTTACTTTACCAAGGGTTCCCGAGACCAATTTTGTCTACAAAACATCCAGAGTGCAGCAGGGATGTTTTGCAGGCGAAATCGGTCGAGGGAACCCGTGTTTCAGTAAAATCTTTAATTTCCCAAAAGGTATGTTGTACACAATTTCGTCAACTTTTAAGATGAAAATGCGCAAATTTTTATACGAGAACTTCGCAGACCGGCTCGTTATTTTACTTTATTAGTCCCCTGGGACGTAATGTAACTTAACGTCCCTCTGATGGGAGAATCATAGCTCCGTTATGTTGGTAAAAAGGCGGTTAATAAATTTCTTATTACAAACCGAATTTTTTTTCTTCATAATTTTAATTGTTCCTCCCAAGTAACAATTTTGCGGAAAATCCGCGGAAATTCCCAGAAATCTTTCACAGGAAAATCCGGTGAAAATGTCGACAGCTTTTCCCAGGAATTTCTCGTAACCCATTCCCAGGAACCAGGTCCGAGGAATTTCTTGTAACCCATTCCTAGGAATTTCTTGTAACCCATTCCTAGGAATTTCTCGTAACTCTATCCAAGGAATTTCTTTTAACCAATTCTAGGGAATTTCTTGTCACCAATTCTTCAGAAAAACCAGAGAAAATTTGTAGCAAAAATTGGTCTTCAGAACCAATTCCTGGGAATTTCCCTGGAACTATTCCCAAGATTTTCATAAGAGTTCCTCAGGAATATCTTGAAATATTCACTAACAAAAGCAGTGAATAACTTAACAACCATATTGCCCCTCCAACTTTTTAGAAGTATAACCATCTTCTTAAGTCAGAATGTTATAGCCGTTTTTGATCTTCCTGAAGTTGTCATGTATTTTGTTTATTCAGACAAATGAATTGTCAGGAATTTCTTGGGGTGAAAATTTCTCAGGAATTTCCAGAGAATATTTCTGGAGAAATTCTGAGGAATTTCGTGGGGAAAAATTCCGGAGAATTTATCAGGAATTTCTCGAAACTGAGTCTCAAAACTGTGATCCCACAAAAATCTCTCATCTTGGGGACCAATTCTAGGGAATTTCTTGAGAATTTCCGAGGAATAAGTTACAGGAAATGATTCTCAAGAAATTCCTCGGAAATTCCTTAAAGAAAGTCACCACGGTTGGAGAATCTGGGGAAATTCCTCACTTTTGTTACTTGGGCTTGAGTTTAAGAGCGTCATCAATGACCTTCCCCTTATGAAAATTCTTTGAGAATGAGCCGCTCTCTTGTAATCACTGTGACGATAAAAACGAAAATATCTCCATCTTCTTAGCCTAATGAATCGTTGATGGCAAAGCTTTCAAAAAATTATTTTTAAACTTTATCAGTTTTTTAACTTTAAAGTGCAGAATTGTTGCAAAAATAATATTTGTTTAAATTTAGATTTGTTTGTGATCTGCAGAGTATACTGGGATACGGTCCAGAGGAATTCTTCAGAATTACCGGCCAACTTCCAGCCGACGATAGATGATTTAATCCTTACTTTTTATGCTTTTTACACCATATTTCCCTAGTCCCAAAACTGGAATCCCTCGTAAGGACTCCTGATTAAAAAAGGCAGAATATAATCCCTCAAAGAGGAAGGAAAAGTCTAGTTCTAAGGCAGCGAGGTCCTTTCCATGCATAGTTCCTTAAATAGGAAGGTGTCGAAAAACGGCCCCATGGTACCTTAGGAACGCACTTTTCCTTCCTTACATAGGAAATGTTTCACAGCAGAGCAAATGCGCCATAAGAAAAGTATAACTAGGTGGTTTGGGGCTCAACTAGCTACAGGGTGTCCAACGAAAAATGACAGTTGGTAAATAGTTTAGAATGTCTTCTTCCATAATTTGTTAAGTTGTTTAATACCAAAGACAATAATAAAAATATTATATATGGGGTCATATTATAGTAAACTTATTTGAAAAGTAAAATATACTTGAGCAAACGATTTTTCAAACGAAATAAACTGCAAACCGCTTTTAATTTGGAAGACGACATTCAAAACTATTCACCAACTGTCATGTTTCGTGGAACAGCCTGTATTAAAAGGAGAAATCAAGCAAAACTGTCTTTTTTAATCAGGAGTCCTTACAAGTCATTCCAGTTTTAGTATAATGGAAATACAGTATATATTAAATTTGTAATTATTATTGTTGAATGTATTAAAAAATATTTTAATAGTATATCTTCAATAAACAGAAAGCTAGTAACTTTTGAATTGATGATGATGAAATTGTTCTAATTCTAATTTGAGAACAAGATTAACTCAGTTTAGACAGATTTATCTAGTTCCGTCCATTAAAATTAGTTAAATACGTACAACGGACTATTTAAAATTTCTTTCTATATAAAGCCAACATTGTGCAGTCAGTCAGCACTTCACATCATTACCGGAAACGGAGGACAGTGCACTTCCGGTAATGAAAGCATACTTCCGGCCAAGACAAGATTTACTGTTAAAATATTAAAAGCATTTACTGATCAGGAGGTCAATAGATTGGGTTAACTTTATCATGTTTGAAGCTTAGAAAATTTCACTATCGCACTTGCCAACTGAAATTTATTTTTCTTTCTATATTTTGTAACCTGCAGATGACGCAAATTTGTACAAACCTTTGACATTTAAATCTTTGACTATCAAATATATTGGAGAATTCTCAGATGTAAAAATTCTGATTAAACTGACAAAAACAGAATAAACTGAGCCAAAATAGATTCTTATATTACAATAGATGGCAACGTAGAATTAGTACACTCTCAGTACAATTGTATTCTGACGTCACAAGGGTCAACTTAGTTTTTGTGTCCCACAAAATTATTAATAATAGTGATATTTTTGGAAAAAAGTGCTTATCTTACAGTAAAATAAATACAATTTTATGTTTTCTTTAGTTTCTGTTTTTACACTTTTTTATTGAATCTTGGAGAGCATGTCAACTAATGGGAGAAAATTTCGTTTTCCTTGTTATATTTGACACTTGTGACGTCATGCATAATTAGTTAATATCTCTGGCCACCTATGACAATCTATTTGGGTGAGCCTAGGGCAGGGCAAAATTCTGTTAAAGGAAGAATCCATTAACCAACAGCAAAAACCGTTAATTTTTGGACCATTTATGAAACGAATTAGCCATTTAAATGGTGTCTCATGTGTTCACATCCTTAAATGCTAAGAAAAGATTGCGGTAATTCCTTCAGTGGCGGCCATAAGGGGGGTTATTGGGGTTATTTACCCCTCTCCCTAGAATTCTAGGGGTAATTACCCCTGAACATATATTCAGGCCCTGAATAGCAGGGGTTACTCCATTTGCTGCCTCTACAAGGACTACAAGTAACTGCAGTTCCAGTTGCCTTGACCCCTTCAATGCAGTGCACCTAAACAGTCAGTAAACTTTTACTTCGGTTACTTCAGTAGGGTTCACTCACACACAACTGGACCTGGTTATAATAAAAAATATATATATTATGAGTTAATTTCCTAAAATACGATTTTTGGACCCCACACACCCCCCTCCCCCCCNTAGAGTTTTAGGGAATTACGCAAATTGAGCGTATTTTTACGCAATTTGTATACCTGAAATAAAATGATACACATCTTCACAAATTCATGATATTTTTACTTAAAGCTGGGTTATAAAATATTTTCTTTAGAAAAATTAGATATTTACACTAATTTGAAATATAGTCATACGCAAATTTGCGTTTTAATTGCGCAATTAGAGCCAAAATAATATGCGACCACGCTATCTACGCAATTTGGCTAGCTGGGTAGTTGATTTGGATATCTAGTTACCTATATAAGAATAAATATAATTCAACTTAGTGGATATAGTGCCTTAACAACAATTAACAAACCGTTAACACCGATACTACAGAAGACCGTTTGGCTGCACCGTTCAGTATTTCATGACCTTACAAGATTTTTTTTCGCACTTTATGCCGTTAATACTGAGAATGACAATTAACGGTTGTGCCGTTGGCGATTTCTTTAATTGTGTTGATGAATTTTTTGTTTGCACTTCACACTCTTCACACTGTACTAAAATAGATCATTATAACCGCTGCGCTGTTGAAGATTTTTTAACCGATAACATTTTTTTTCAGTGCTTTGCGCCATTAACAATGTAGTTATAGCTACACTGACATGACTGGATGCCCTAAACGATTGTTGAAAATTTTCCATCAACGTCGTTATAATAAAATTGAGATTGCTAACTAACAGTAATTTTAAAAAATAAGGGTAAATGTCATTAAGAAAAATAATGTTCCGTTCTTACGGCTTATGCCTGAAATTTCCTTTTTTGACGATTGGAACTACAGGGTGTCCCACGAAACATGACAATAGCAAGACGACTTGAAAGTCGTCTTTGATATATGAATTTATTTGTGACATTTAGTCTTCTATCAACACAGTGGCAGTGTTTAGAGCACACGTCGGTGAAAAATTCATCTATTTTTATACTTTTACCCTTTTTTCAGACTTCTAAACTGATGCATCAACACAAACGTGACGAGGTAAATGTAAATTTTATTCTGTAATTCCCTCGAGTTTGTCCTAATTCAACGTTTAAATGATTAAAACGATTGAAAAAGGTGTTACCCAAATTTTTCATTTTGATTTTCGTACCAGACCGGTTTAGGCTTGTGTCGAAATTGCTTCTTGAGCTTTATAAAAGGTCGTCTTATACATGATTTCGACACATCAAGACTTTTTCAAAGATTGCCGTCCAATGAGAGAAAGGTGGCATAGTCACAGTATCTCCGTGAGTCAGCTGTAGACAGGAATAAAGAAACCCAATTAGAATCCAAAAATATCTTTTCAATCCTTCACCATTCAGCGATCAGCCATAGTCAATAAAGTAAAAATTCTAAACTTCAAGAGTTTAAGTTTGGTTTGGGTTCGACCTCTCTAGAGTATTGATGAATACTCAGTCTTTGTTAAGTCTCAGATGTCCTCTGCTGAAACTGTGAACCAAGCCGCTCCTCCGAACAAAAAACGAAAAGTTATTTCAGGTCAGTTCTTTCTTTTCTTTGTGCAAATCATTCTTTGTACGACGTTTGCGAAGGAAACGTCTTTGGCGAAAGCTCTTACAGCTTATTTATGACGTGAGTTGACAATTTGGATCGAAGAGAAAGTTCTAAATATTTCATCATTAAATAATTCACCTGGATCAAACATACTCAGCCAGTATCTTAAAGATTATTAATTTAAAGCTAATCGGCTCAGTTACTGAAGAGGGGGTCTGTCCTAGAGAACGATTTTTGGACCCCCCCCCCCCCCTATTTTTACATGACCACTTATTACGTGTTAGG